AGGAAGAGAAGCCCGAAGGAAAGGGCAAAGAAACGGCCGAAGACTCTCCCAAGGTCCGACACATCAAGGAGCGACTCGCTGATACCCACGATGCCCTCGCAGAGATCTCCCTAGAGAACGAGCGGTACATAAAACCCCAGACACCGTTCCCAGTGCCCGCGCATAACCAAATGCTAACATAATCGTAGATACCCCAATGCCATTGAGGACGGTCGCACGTCTCTAAAGTACAAGCTGGAGCTCTACCCTGAAGACTCCGAGATCATCGCCGAGGCGCACTACAAGCTTTCTCTGGCTCTTGAGTTCGCATCCATTACGACAACAAGCGAGAATGGCGGCACCGAGCGCAGGGAAGAGATGGACCAAGGCCTGCGGGCTGAGGCAGCCAAGGAAATGGAGTTGGCAATCCAGAGCTCCAAGCTGAAGACTCAGAACAAGGAGGTCGAGCTCGCGACTATGGCCTCGCCCGAGGACAATGAACTTGCCCGCAAGCAGATTGCCGAAATGAAGGAACTCATCGCTGATATGGAGCAACGAGTAAGCCGTCCCCCCTAACTTTCTCATCCTTCGTTACTTTCCTGACGCTCTCAAAGCTCGTCGATCTGCGAAACGACCCAATCGACACCAAGGGTCTCCTCGGCGCCGATGCCAACCCCCTGGGTGGTGTTCTGGGTGCTCTGGCCGGCGAGTCCTCGGCCGAGACCAAGGCCCGCATCGACGAGGCCAGCAAGACCGCTACCGATCTGTCCGGCCTGGTCCGCAAGAAGAAGACCAAGGAGGAGGAGGCAGCCCCTGCCGATGTACCCAGCGAGACCGAGTCTAACGGAAAGCGCAAAGCTGAGGCCGACGCAGATGAGGACGACTCGGCCAAGAGAGCCAAGGTCGAGGCCTCGGAAGCTGCCTAAGTGCAGACCACGCAGAAGCTTCTCTTTCCGCGTATGTAATTTCTGTACACTGGTTCCCCTTTTTGATCTTTCTTTCTATTGGTGCGGAGTTTATGGAGTACAAGCAAGGACCGGGTGGAAACAAGGGAATTGGGACATATGGAGAGCGGCGAGACGCAAGCTCCAATGCATAGGTTGTTGATGTACTAGTAGTATACGACATGATTTAACGGCTTCCCGCAGCTAGGAGGGAAAGCCAATAGATTCCAAGGGAAAGCGTCAAGATTTTTGAAAGAATAATTTTCCATTTCCTTTTCGGATCTATACACAACAAAGTACATCGATTGTCTATATATCGTGACGCTGTGTCGACTTTTTTGAACGCCCAACAACATGATTACAACTTGAAGCTTCCGCTCGTCAGGGCCTTGGAGGCCTTGATCTTGTTTCCATCCACGTCCGTCACCTCTCCCTTGCGATTGATGACCTTGACGCCACCCTTCTTCAGATCCGCCATGGTGTCGCGCTGCATCTTGGCGCGGCCGCTGAGAGCCTTGCCAGGACCGACGCCGCCAGCCTTGCGGACGCGCTCCTTCTCGCGCCGCCTCCTCCTCGTCCTGTCCTCGCGGGACATCTCCTGCTTGGCGATGGGCACGCCGCTCTTGGCGACGACCTCGCCCTTCTCGGCCGTCTTGTTGGAGGCCTTGTACACCTCCTGCGGGGCCATGTTGCTCTGCTGGCCGGCCACGCCCTGGGCGGTGGTGGGCTGGGCGTCCTCCATGGCCACCGTGGCCACGTCGGCGACGACGGAGAGCGTGGGCTCAACGGGCTTGGGGCGGTAATGCCAGCTGCTGAGGGCGTCGAGGCGGGCGCTGACATCGCGCCACATGGCCTCGACCTCGCGCTCCTCGCGCTGGAGCTTCTCGTCCGACTGGCTCACGTAGGTGTCTGGGTTGTTCTTACGGGCGTGCTCCTCTTCATACACCTCTGCCAGACTCTTGCCCTTAGTGTCGTCGACATCCTCAAGCATACCGCGACGTGTGCCTGTGGGGAGGCTGTCGACACCGGGTCGGCGACGCAGGACCTCATCGAATTCCTGGGCGAGAATGCGCCTCTTGATCAAGTCCTCGATGCCCTCAGTGATTTCGGGCGTGATTACCGGCACAGGTTTGCCAACATGCTCAAAGTCAAGGTCCTCCTCGAGCAGAGAGTTCATGGGACGGTCGACAGCGGCGGCTTCACCAGACAACGTCCACTCACGCTTCGCGATTGAAGCAGCCTCGAGCTTGCGGATCTCCTCGGCGAGTTTTGCCTGTCGTCGCTCATGTGCGGAGCGGCGAGATCTGGGGTCTCCTGCAGAGACATCGGACAGGCCACCATCGGAGCCTTCCTCATCGGACTCGTCGTCGAAGAGATCACGGCGGACATCTGCCATGGTGTTCTCCACATCGGCGTCATTGATCGGCTGGGCTTTGAATGAGACGGACTTTCTTGGTCTATCATCTCTTCTCTTCTTTTTAGGTGGAGCAAAGAAGTCTTTGTAGTACACGTCGTTGGCATTGAAGTCCATGGCCTCGTCATCCACTCCGGCTTCCAAGTCGCCAGCCATGGCTTCGTCGTCACTAGCACCCTCAGGGGCATCAAGGTCCATATCACCAAAGGTAGGGCCGTCGTCTTCATCGTCCTCGTCATCGTCTTGGTCCTGTGATTGTGGCTTCTTGCCAGCAGAAGCATTGGACTTGCCCTTGGGCTTAGCTGCTAGGGGGTCCGCGTTCCAATCAATGTCCTCGTCGTCGCTGGCTGCGTCTGTGTTGGGATCTCCTCTTGCGTCTTGTTGTTCGAACCAATTTGACTGCTTGTTGAAATCATCCAGGGAGAAGAATCCGTCGTTGAGACCATCTGGATCAGCCTCGTACTCGGCTCCCTCTTCCACTTCCTCCTCTTCCCCCTCTTCCTCATCTTCTTGGTAGTCATCCTGTTCGGCACCAAGGCCTTCACTAGCATCCTCCCATTCGTCCTCTTCCTCATCTTCATCTTGCGCGTCGGCGCTCAGCGGCTCCTCATCTTCGTCGTCTGAGGCCAAAGAAGGCTCATCCGCATTGCCGTTGAGCTCCTCGGGATCAGACTGTGAATCCTCCTCGGACTCTCCCTCTATTGCGATTTCATCGTTATCCTGGAGATCTTGCAGCGCCGAGTCTGCATGCTTGAGAACGCTACCAATGATTCTCTTGGCCTGTTCCCAAACCTGGTTTGTTTCAAAGCCGTCGACGTAGACTTTGCGGATCTTGAGCACCTCCTCCTTGCCGTCGGCCCTCTTCCGTTTCCGGTTCTCCTTTAGTTTTTGTTCCTGCTGTTCGGCGATCTGGCCAGCGAAGCCTTCGAGGGTATCTTTGACAATGTTGAGCGACTCGGTGGGAATGGCGGCATCGGGCTGGAGGAACACATGGCGATTGGCGGATTCAAGGCGGCCCAGGAGCGACGAGGCATTGCTCTTGGAGGCCGAAGAAAGGCCCGCCATATTTGGCAAGGCCGTGAGTGTATGCGAGGTTGAGGTCAGGGTTGGCGATGTCTCAACAGCCATATCTATCTCTTGGTTTCCGCCGTCTGCCTCGAAACATTGCGCTATTCTCCAGAGACGACGAGAAAAAAAGTTGATGTGTGGGGCCACATGATAAGAGATAAGCTGGATGGATGACCGAGTGGGGAAGGGCGAATTGATGCTTCTCAGTGGTACAGGTTAAGCAGGCCCATTTCTTTCGGTTACTACATTCACCAGGTGACATAAATGATACTACACCAAGGCCACCAACATCGCATTCCGGAATGTCAAACCTAGCAATACGGAAACAATATAGAGGCAGTTTTCAATGCACCGCTTTACTTTATGACTTGAGGGATTGACTGCCATTAACAAATATCAAAATATAAAGGCCACGACTCCCATAGGTAGAGCCCGAAGTGGCGTTGGGGTCCGTGCCGCTTTCTGTCGCCCCAAATCAATCTAATATGCCGAGTTGCTGGCAGTAGCACGTCTTTTGGCTACTAGAAATAGCTATACTATCCACCTACCGACCATAATTCTCTCAACAGAGCAGTATGAACCGGCCATGTTCACGAAAGACCTACTTCTGCTGATGGGCAGCATAGAGAAGGCGGACCGCCCCAGCAGAGGCGGCACCAGAAACCTCTACGGGACGGGGCACACGACACCCGCTACCCCCCCTTCGAGCCCACTTTGGCCATCAACAGATGCCATCCGCTTGCAGGCTCTACCCTTTGTAGAGACGCCGCTCACCTGCGTCGTGTGATGACCAACAGCTGTCGCGCATTCGGCATACTAGGTAAGATGGCTCAGTCTTTCTCCATGCGCCTGGACGTCGACCTCGAATTCTGGCCAGAAGTCTCAATCAATCCAGCGCATACAGCATCTATCTCTTCTCGCGCCTACTATTCATAGTCACTTAGCGCATCTTCCATCAAGCCTCCAGCGGTGCCGTTCCACTCTGCATAATAGGACCTTTTTATATTCGATGCTTGCGTTGGCCAGAGCAGCTCAAGTCCCAGAACGGATATTCATTAGTTTGTATTCATCCATGCGTAAGGTATCCAAAAATTCAACAAAAAAAACAATCCAAAATAAACTCCAGCGCCGGACTGAGGGCCGTCGCCTCGCAAGCCCGCTGCCAGCCGACGATCCCTCGCCCGGAAACGGCAAGTTTCAATGCACCCCGCTCTTCGCCCAGCAGATCCCATCTGACTTCACATGTAAGTGCGTCTGATGGGTACCATTTACCAAATCCCGAAGTCCCCCAATGCAACGTTCCAGCAGAGCAGCAAACATCAGCTGCCACCGAAAAGAGGAGAGATGAGTGAGAAAGAAAAAAAAAGTAGGAACGTTGTGTCTGTCTGTCCCCCCGCCAAGGTAGAGGACTGAAAATGGACACCAAGTGATGCAAACGCCTTGAAGCTTCGAGGGTCCACCCAGAACCAAACTCGTTCGTCTCAGATCACTAACTCGATTCCGTTAATAAGGAGCATGGCCAACAGATGAGGCATGCGACTCACATTTGTGTCATACGTTATAGTACTCCAAGGCATCATCTAGGGGGCTTGCTTTCATAACACCCACATGGCAACTCCAGCAAGGACTGCAGTGGACAGAAGGACTGAACCAGCGATGATGTCACCCGTCCTGTCGGCTCGGGTCGACCAAACCTCCTCGCTGTCGAGGATGCTGTAGGGGTACTTCTTCATCATCTTGGAAGGAGGTCGAGTGACTGAGTGACTGAGTTGTCTTGGGAGTTGGGAGTGGAATAAATATGGGAAAGTAAAATAGAACAATTAAAGCCAGATACCGAGTACGTTGTAAAAGCAAGAGGAAATAAACCGATGACGGGGCGCGAAATACTAGGCAACGGACGAGGGAGAACCACCACCTTTATATTTCATCGGCTCACCTTTGTTGCATGGCCTTTGGAGGGGGGTGTGCAGCCGTCAACCACTTTCCCAGACGGAGCACCCCAGCTGATAATCATGAGAGGGGAATAAGACTGACCCGGCACGGCCATGTGAGTCCAACCCTCCCTTCTTCTGCCTTACCGGTCTGGTGTCACACATGCCAAGACGGGTCGAGCGCAGCGATTGGGTCCATTGATATGGCCGGAATCGTCGACTAGTTGCTATTGTGAGTGAACAGGGTTTACGCTAGATGTGGCCAGCTTGGACCACACAATCGTACGTGGCAGGGTTGCCGAACCGGATAGTCATGGCTCATATCATGAATAATCTGGTGATTAGGCACACCCGAGATCAAACCCTTGATTCCAATACAGAATCCCTGTGCAATTTATAAATTAAATGGCAAGTGTATTCACTAAAGGCTGTCTCTATCAAAGGGGGGAAAGAACGGTGTAAAACTTCGCCACATGCGCCGCGTCGAACTGAACGACTCTAGAAACCCGAGCAATCACCAAACAAGAACAGGACAGCCAAGTAATGGAAGAATGTTCTGGGTTAAAAAAAAATAAGAATAGAACCCCTCCAGTTTGTAGGTCAATTAGGCAAAACTCCATGGGAGAGGCGCGCTGGTTCGCTGGTTTATCATAAATATATCAGCAAAGAGGGGGACTCAAAATCCTCTCCGGCCACCCGTGCTCATCAGGGTGATCTTCTGTTTCTTCTTCTTCTTCCCGCCTCCCCCAGCGCCGTTAGGAGTTCCTGTGGAGGGGCCAGCAACCGCTTTGCCCTTACCAGTATCCACGCTCTCAAATGCGTTCAATGCTTCCATTTGGGCTGCTAGCTCAGCTGGGCCCAAGAAATCTTCGTCCTTGAGCCACCCATCATCCCCTGAGTCAATGTGTGTCGCCCCGAGTTCAGGAGACTGTGCGACGACACGAGTTCCCCACACAGTTCTCTGTGTGGAAGGACTGGTGGACATGGACGCCAAGGTTTCGAAGCCGGGACGGGGGTCGGGGGGACTGGCATCACTGTGCCCTCCCAGAGGTTGAAACTCCGACATATCCATAGCGGGCGGCTTTTCGTCGTCCAGAGGTCCCACAAGGTGTCGAGATCCTGCTGCCGCCCGCATTGAAGCTGCCTCAATGCGCTCCGCCTGTACACGCTCCCTTTCTTCCTGTATTGCCTTGTCCCGATTACGCTTTCGACGTCGTTCAATTTCTGACTTGAAAGAATCAAGCGTCTCTGCTGGAACAATATCGGTCCAGTCGCATTCCAGAAACGTCACCACACAGCCGCGGGGAAGATGACCCAAGTATTTAGCTCGTTTGCGCATGGCATCGTCTACAACGTGTCCGGTTGAGATATGTTCGACTCGAGGTAAGAGGGTTGTCGGGAATGACGAGAAGTTTCCGTACTTTGTCTTGAGAATGCGAATGTCCAGAGGCGAAAGGTAAAGGTGCGGCGGTGAGCTGTAAAAATAGAAATCTGCCTCAGTCGAGGGGTTGGATAGCTTGCCCGGAGCAACGACACTGGCAGCGGTGATATCTTTAAACGGTTCCAAGCGTTCCTTTGCACCCTCAATTGCTCGGACCGCCCGCTGTGTCCATTCCCCGTCAAGGCCAAACAATGTTTCATCCTCCTTCTCCTGCTGCTTTAAAGCCTGAATCTCCTCGTCATACTGCTCAGTCATGTAGTCGCTTGTGCCTTTCATAATGCGGGCGTAATCGAACACGTTCGCGGCAAAATGCCACGGGATATCTGATCCGGAATGGAAGGCCTCGGCTCCAGATTCGCTGGGGAGCGCAAGCGTGGAATCTGCGTTCCTTGCCATGAGCCGGAGAACGACGTCATCACCCACCCGAGGCAGAGGACTCTCCTGGCCAGCGTAGAATCGCACTGGACGAACTTCGTGTAGATAGATCGAGTCTTCACAGATGGGGCATTTCTTCCACCTCGGCCCTTTGCTAGACTTCGAATCTTCCTCGCTCGAACTTGAATTCATAAACCGAATGAGGCATGAAAGACAGAAGATATGACCACATTTGGCCATCCGAGGAGCAACAGGGTCGGAAAGACAAATTGGACAAGAGGTGACCTGGGATTGTGAAGACGCAATGACTTGCAGAACATTATTCCAGTCCAGATGCAGGTCGGCATCGCTCGCATGATCGGTGTATGAAATTTCGGGAGAGACGACAAAACGATAGTTCGAATGCACGTATCGGGACTTGTCGGATGCGTGGTACCCTGACCCTGGGCCCCAGGTTGGATTCCGGCGATATGATCTCGCATAGGCGCTGTGATCTACGTATGGTCGCGGCATCGAATAATTAAGAAGATGCGTGATCGACGTCTGGCCCCGTCGACTGTTGGGGTTTCTGACAGCGCGAATTTCATCCATGGCGTCGCTGGCGTCTAAGCCACGATGTGTCCTCGGTTCGGGCCCGGGGCGATGCTGGTCTCGATGCTTTTTACGAGAAGCTTGTCCTTTGCGAGGAACGGGAGTGGCGTTGGAAGGGCCAGACTGACCGGGTCGCCGGGAGGCCTCGAAACTCAAGGTCGCTGGCCCTGCCTGGTTCGAGGAATGGGTTGATGAGGATACCGGCAAAGACTTGCCCAGGACTGAATTCGAAGGATTCATGATCGACCTAACAAGTAGATGGGAGGAAAGAGCCGGCGTGAGGGGTAGGCCGTTGACTCAATCATTCAATCACTGTCGTTTTAGCCTCGATACGGGTGGAGGCTGAAGGGCATTCCCACATCGACCTCCAGAGGCGTGCTGCAGCAACAAGGGCAACGACCCAAGCATAGGAAAACGAGGAGAAAGATTGATAATGAGTCAAGCGATAAGAGAACAAGACGAGGATGATACGGCTTCCCTACGGGGGCCCAGCTCGAACGGACCCCAATGGCTCTTGGTGGAGAACTGCTGATCGCGTTACCGTGCCTGCTGGCGGGGCAGGCGTTGGATGACCTTCAAGCATTCGCGGAGGCGGACCAGTAAAATTCCGGCGAACGCACACGACCACAGGGTAGGCCATCAGTCAGCAGACTCTGCCGAATCAGCGCCATGCCTCAGAGCTGTATGATATCATGCACACACCGGCCAATGAGCGGCACCACACGCTGCCCTTCTTTGTCTGAGTGGACAGAGAGGTGCGCAGTATGTAGTTCAGTTCAATTGCATTAGAGTCTCCGTTTTCCATCAATGCGCACACAGGTCAGGGATATTTGATTTAGATAAGCACTATGAATTAGATACATGGGAGAGGTAAATCCAGCGCGCGCCAGACGAGCAAACACTTGGTCCTTGTGCTTCTACGCATGGGGGAGGGGGAATAATTGGACACGTGAATATACATACCGCAATAAACCAGCCAAAACAAAATGATCATTGCAAATTATACCTCCAAACATTACATTCGTTGAGCATCCTCGTCCATTCCAATCAATTCTTATCGGTGATTTTGTGCTTAATCTTGCTGAGTATCGCGCTGAAGCGGTTCTTCTTCTTCTTTTCCGTGGAAGCCTCGGCTGTCTTGGATGCTTCGGGCTTGCTTCCAGTGCCGTTCGATGCCCCAGCACCGTTGGAAGCAGCCTCAGCCTTTGGTGCTTCAGCGCCATTGGAGGCAGCCTCGGCCTTAGGTGCCTCACCGCCATTAGCTGCGGCATCGACCTTTGGTGCTTCGGCCTTGGGAGTCTCCTCAACCTTGGGTGCCTCCGCGATCGCGGGTGCTGCCGCAGTTGTAGGTGCTGCCACAGTTGTGGGTGCTGCCGCAGTCGTGGGTGCTGCCTCGGTAGCCTGGGCAGTCTTGGCCTCAGGAACAGTTGCAGCGCCAACGGCAGGCACCTCCTTGACTTCCTTCAGCAGCTCAGCTTCGACTTCCTTCTTGTCTTCAACGGCAACAGCGTTGGCAGCAGCCTCGGGGCTCTTCGCAGCTTCGGTGATGGACTGCTTCACCTCATCTGGAACTTCGGGAGCAATCTGTTCGCGGATCTCCTCCTTGTTGTGAGAGGCCAGGACTTGTTGAGCCGATTCGGGCAGCGTCTCCTTGACAGAGTCTGGCAAGTTCTTGTTGGCAACATCGACGGCTGTCGCAGCGGCCTGGTCAGCGGCAGCGGAAGCCTGGTCAACGACAGGAGCGGCCTTGCCAGCGACAGTTGCTGCTGCGGCTGTTACGGCAGCAATGACAGCGCCACCGGCTGTGGCTGCAGCTGCAGCAATGGTACCAGTGTTCTCGGACTTCTCAGTGCCCAACCCAGAAGTACCCTCAGAGGTCGAAGGGGCCTCTGGCACCTTAGCCTTAAGCTCCTCCTCGACGGCAGCCTTTTCCTTCACCTCTTCGGCAATAGCGCTTGCCTCGGGGGGCACACCAGCCTGCTCCTGGCTCTCCTTGACGATCTTTGGAACCTTGGGCTCGAGGGGAACATTGCCAGCCAGGATAGCAGTAGTGGCGGTTGGTGTAACTGAGTTGATAGTGGCATCACCAACAGGCAAACCGGACTCGGGAATGATGTTCTTAGAAACAGCGGGAACTTCAGTTTGAACTCCAGGGAGAGTATCGCTCTTCTCATACGACTCCTTGTCAAGCTTCACATTCGCATTGATATCTTGGGCAGCCACAGACTGGGGGACCTTCTCCCCAGGCGCGAGCTGAATTGGGTTCACAGCACCAGCGGCGGCCGGGAGAGGGTTGATGCTGACAGGCTTCTCTGCTTCGGCGGCAAAGGCAGCGGGGAGGCCACCAGGGAGCGCGTCGCTCTTCTCATACGACTCCTTGTCAAGCTTCACGTTGGCATTGAGATCCTGGGCAGCAACAGACTGGGGGATCTTCTCCCCAGCCTCAACCGTGACTGGATTCACAGCGCCCTCAGCGGCAGGGAGAGGGTTGATACCCACAGGCCTGTCTAACTCGGCAGCGGGAGTAATGGGGAAGCCACCAGGAATATCAGCCGGGGTGGGAACCTCCTCGGCGCCCTTCGACTGTGTGGTCTCCGTGGTCGCAAGAGAAGATTGAGACTCCTTGTTCGGATTGTTGTTCTTGCTCTTCTTATTCTTCTTCTTCTTTGATTGTTGGCCTGCCATCGCTGCGGTTGTGGAGTCGGGCGTTACAGTGTTGATCAGAGCCGCGGCGGCAGGAGATGTGATGATTTGCTCGGGTGTAAGAAAGTTGTTGATGTTGCCGTCGTGGTCAGGCTCCTTGGGTGCAGAGTCGTTTGTTGTCCAGGTGTTGTCGACAACGAACTAGACAGATTTCAATCAGCCTCGAGGGCACTTGGGAAGTGGGTTGGTGGGCTAATTTAAAGGATTCAGGTGTTGGTGTATACAGGGACAAGGTTAGGAAGGTCGAGAGTTTAAAACAAGCCACTCGGCCTTGGATGCCGATCCAAACCTTCCCAATTTTGCGCTCAGGGAAAGCTTGTCACAGCGCCGGTAAAAGTCTCCGGTGTCTTGGGCAAATTGGAAACATTGTGTGCGCATGCCAAAGCTGGCTGGTCGCAAAGGGCACGAGGCAGGATGAGGGCGCCGCTGCTTTCGAGTAGGGCCAAACCCAAGGGATCCGCAGCGTAGATCAATTGGCTTAGCATTTCTCGCCCAGGTGACTTCGCTAACGTCGCACACTGCGCACAATCACTCGGCCACAGGTTGTGCAACTGCGGGAGGCATGTGTAGCGGCCAATTCATAACATTGTTGGGGGGGATTGGAATGCGTTGCGCTGCGACGAGACAGTGAGGGGCGGTGATGTGACGACGGGGGTTGGACAAGACAGGCATGTGTGCAAAAGCGCCAAATGGAATCAAGCAAAACAAGGGCAAAAGACAAACAACCAAGCAAGAACTTGTGTAGGATTAGAAGCGCCAATGGTGGGCGCAAAGAATGAAGGGGATTCTGGAATGTCACACACCTTGTAGTAGATCTTCTTGGAGGCGTCCTCGAGCTCGACGGTCTTCTGGAAAACGTCGCCGTCCTTCTCAAGCTTGACGCTCTTGGTCCAGTTATCAAAGGTGCCGGTTACGTAGACCTCCTCGGCAGGGTGTTCCCTAGGTGAAGGAGCTCTGGGTCAGCGCATATGCAGGGAGGAATGTGGTCGCGTGTGGCTCCTGTTGCTATGGAGCGAGACAGACCAACAGTGCGCTTCCCGAGGGGCCGGCAAGTACTCACCACTTGAAGGTGTGGCTTCCCATGGTGACGGCAAGCTCGATGGGTATTGTGTATTATGATGTATGCTGGTGGGCGCGTCTGGCTGGATACGGGAGCTGCTAGTGCAGGAGTGTCGAGCTCTGGGGAATCGGGAGAAGCAGATGGAAGAAAGTTTGCGAAGCGACGCAGCACAACAGACGGCAGGCAATACAAGCAAAGCAAGCAGCAGGAGCAAGCAGAGCAGACCAGCGCAGCGCAGCGCAGTTAGATCAGGTCAGGTTCAGGTAGGGCAAGACACGGCAAGACGCCAGGCAAAGTTGAGGAAGTGGCGGGGGCGGGCGAAATTAAAGCTTTCCACTTTCATACAAGGATGGAACGGCCCAACAACGCGCATCGACTGCGATCGATTGATGGCTGCACCGAACCCTGGCACGACACCCAACGGTGCTACACACAGCGCGGCCAGCGGTCAATGGCCTGAGGTGGCAGGGGGAAATAAAGGTGCAAAGATCTCGGGCTGCGGAGCTGGAATGGACGGAGTCTCGTACGACGCTGCCAGCTCGCAAAATGCGGTGATGATGCAATGGATCTAGAGGGCAGGGGCCTAGCTGTAAGTTTTCTGCGAAAAATCACTAAAGCGAGTGCCTGAACCTGCCTGGCCCCAGCAGGTGCTGTCTGACCGTCTCCAGCTGTTCGCATCCGTCACAGCAAGCTCCCCACCCACCTGCCCAAAGCGACACTGGCTGGAGCCTTCTACTGGCTTCTGCTGGGCAGCCGTGCAGACCTCTTGCGCATTTGGCCCCTGCCCAGATGTGAGTAATCGGTATGCTAGATAAGGTAGGTCTGCCTGCAAATTTGTTGGGGCTTGTCTCTCTGGCGTGCTCCCTGTCATAGGGAGTTCTTGACCCAGTTGGGCTGCAAGAGCTTAGAGATTGCGACAGTAAGAGTCCAGACCGCCCGCCTCTTCTCCAGGCCACAGGAGGCCACAGCGATTAGCGGCAGGCGACCGGGTCGCTACGCGTCATTGAGCTCCACCCAGCGATCAGCCTCCCCTTGACTGACTGACAGCATCTGATCCCAGCACGCCCAGCCATCAATTTGCCATCACAGCCGTGCCATGGCAAACTCCCAGCCTCGTGCAGGGGACTGACGCTGGGCATCTTTGCACAATGCAGATATCTATCCTGGTGATCCGAAAACACGGTCTGGGTGTTCCACTCCTCCCAGGAGCAAATGAGCCGCGGCTTCTCCATCACCAGCTGCTGCTTACTCCGTTGCTGGTTGCTTGAATCAGGCTCCCGTCACACCATCGAAGCTTAACCCGCAAGGCTGACACCCATTGGTTCTCGTCCAAGCTGGAAGCCTTTTTCCGTAGTGGCGACAGGCAATCAACTAACCGGTTCAAACTAATGGTAGCTAAGAGCCAGTGTGCGAAACGAAAGAAAACCATTCAATATTTCACTATATTGTTTAACGAGGATATAGGACTGAGACTACATCTAGATATAGTTATGAACCGAGTATAAACACATCTCGGTAGAGTCTATCAGCATCAGTACCATTGTTAGTACATAGAACCCAACCACTTAACCCAGCAATCCGTTTCACAGCTCCTCCTTTCCTTCAGCACTCTTTGCTTCTTTTTCTTCGGCACCCGTGGCCTTCGCCTTGAGCGCTCGCGCAGTCACCTTAAACTCGGCCTTGTTATCGAAACCCGGCGACTTGTGCTCTGCCCAACCTACCACGTTGCCATCTGCAATCTCAGGCTTGTACTTGGTCAAGTCAAGCAAATCGTCTGTTGACAAATTAGCTAAGGCTTATTCCATCAAACCGGGTTGAGTTTCTTACCTTTGCATTCACTGTCCTCAGCCGCCCAAAGGGGGAGAGTATGGTAGATGACTCCCGGTGCGAAAATAGCTACCCGGTTCTCGTCCTGGCTTCTGTCCACCTCACTGGCACTTGGCACTGTAACCACGTCGTCAATCGCATCATTGTCTGACTTGGGTTTCTCAAATACTCCAAAGTACCCCTTGCCCGGTCCGTCCGTCCTCTCTTGCTCCTCAATCCATTCACGGACTGCCAGAGGGATGTCTGTGTAGTCCATCCGGAGGACAGCGCGGTCGTACCCGTGGCGGTCGTATCCCGACCAGCCTCCAGGGTACTCGCGTTGTGAGAAGAGTTTCTTAAGCCCTCCAGCCCACTGCTTCAGACCCCGGGGAGCTGGCTCCATCAACTCGTGCAGGCTGTATTCGTACATCTTGAACTGCTTGACGGCCTCGCACGACCCGTCATACGCCGCGATTTCGCTGGACTTCAGTAGGTTCTTCCAGAGCCAGCCCTCGGTCAGAGTAGGATCAACCCTTGGCGGGGCATCCTTGTTGATGGCCTCTGCCGAAGTTGCCATCAAGGCGGCTACGACAGGCAGGGCCAAGAATCTCATGATGGTGTAGGGTAGGTATGTATTCTGTTGCCACGGATGGGGAGTTATTAATCCAATTCGATGCAACCTAGCAAGCAAATATTCTTTCAATGAGCTTATGCTTGTTGTCGTCTGATCTAGTAAGGCAAAAAGACACACACACACAAAGACGTTAATACTATCGTACATGGTCCCCACGACGCCAATAAATACTCTTTTGAACGGCATCGCAAACCACCAAGCTTCAATTCAATGCCTCGCTGTCCTCATCGGATCCTGATGCCTCCGTCTTTCCAGATTAGATGAAACGTCTCTCGGACGCAGCATCTCATTGGCGGACGGGGTCAATGTCACGCAGCGCATGTCATGTGCGCTGGATTGCCGGCCGAGCGAGCGGGTGGGCGGCCAGAAGGTCCGGGACGAATCCCTGCTGCCCTCACCTGCTCAACCGAGAAGCTGTTCGGCATACTGGTCCGGGCGAGTCGTGCCAAACAATCCTATTTGTCCTTTGGGCCTCGTGCGGAGTTGGTGAGGCTCTGGTAGTCATTCGCACGAGCTGCGGGGAACTTGGTTGACATGTGTTCTCTTCAGTGGGCGGATGTATCACCAAAAGGGACAGAGATGCATCTGGGCCTGACGATCAGTGAGTGGTCATATTCACAGTTCGGGCACTTACCCGGAGCGAACTGAAAGCTGAGCAAAGACAAAATTTCCTTATTAACCCGCTACATAGCTACATAATCCATCATTATATGTGAAAGAAGAAGAAAAAATCCTGTTTAACTTTTTTTTTATCAGTGTCCCGGGTCAAACTTGATAGGATAGACCCATTCCACCAATTTCACATTCACCAGATTTGTGTCGAAAGAAAAACACATCATGGCACCTTCATGTAAGAGGGCCATGCTACAGCCTCTATCCGGTGCTTAAGGGGGGGAAGGTGTGTATACAACTACAGAGACACGCTCTTGCTAAGCTTGACAGTGACTGGGGAGCCGTTCATGGTGACCCAGATGATGACGGGCTCGGTGCCGACCTTGTCGGAGGTGGAGGAGCCGCCCTCGGTGGTGGCCGAGTCGACGGGGATGGTGACGGGGACGGGGACGCCGCAGGTGTTGCTGTTGGTGGTGACGGTGGCGGACTGGATGGACTTGCCGTCCGAGCTGTAGGTATAGGAGAGCTTGGGCTTGCAGTTGTCGAGGGTCTCGCGGTCGACAAAGTACTTGCCGACGTCGTCGTGCTTGAGCGAGGTGATGGGCCAGTCGGTGAGGCGGTACATCTCCTGGGCGATGGTCTCGACCCAGGCCATGACCAGGGACATCTTGGCAGTCTGGGAGCCGACGGTGATGGTGGGCATGTCCGTCTGGCGGAGGTTGGCCTGGTGGAACATGTAGGGGTCGGCCTGGAGGCCGAGCAGGTAGCGGGAGTTGGTGAGGCGGGCGTCGTTGAGGAGATCGGTGAAGCCACCCTTGCCGGCAGAGGTGTCGATCCACTCCTTGACGGTGCAGTCGGCAGAGTCGCAGTTGTAGTAGATGGTGGTGGCGTAGCGGGGGATGATCTTGAGGCCGGCGTAGCCGTTGTTGGCGACGTTGGTGGTGAGGGCGTGGAACTTGCTGTTGGGGTTCTTGAGGACAGGGCGAGTGTTGTCACCAACCACATATCGGAGGCCGTTGTCCATCCAGGCCTTGATAGCATCGCCATTGTGCAGTCCAGTGATGGCGGGGGGGATCAGGCCCTGAGGAGAGAAACGTCTGGCCTGGTCAATGCCCATCTGCTTCATCCAAGCTTGGTTGAAGTGAATCTCACGGGTAGCATCGTGGTAAGTGGCATTATTCAACTCGAGGTGAGTAAAGGTGTGAGACAGATGAGCAAAGTGGTTGAGGTTGTCCGAGTTCAGGAACCAGGCAGCAAAGTCATCCAGCTTCGCACACTGCTGAGTCCACTCGTACTGCTCATACGCGGCAGGCCACTGGTCAGTACCACTGCCAATAGGCTTCTGGAACTCGAGGGGAGTGTCGGGAGGGTAAGGGTAGTCAACAGGGTCCTCAGGCTTGCAGACGGATGAGGCCGTAGGCTTGGTAACAGCAGCAATGATATCACCGTTTCCGTTGTGACCAAACTCAAGCCAGAAGTCGGAGCCCTTGGGCAGACGACCGTTGATGTTGGTTTGCCAGGTGGCGTGAGCCTCAAGATCTCCAATGCGGGACTTGAATTCAGTGCCGGCGGGGTAGTACATCTCAGTAGCGAGCTGAACATCATCGATCTGGGGGCTGAGGTGAATCTTGCGCTTGCCAACAAAGAGACCACGAGTGAGCCAGTGAACGTGGGCATGCTGCAGGTAGTTGGAGGTGGCAGACCAGTCGGTAGCCCAGCCGGTGAACCAGACCATCTGCTCACGGCCATTAAAGTTGTTTATGACACCTGCAGTCGTTTCAGTTGAGAAACTTCCGCCCGCGCCAAACTTGGCAATCTCCCAGGTGGTGGCAGGGTCGGTAATGACAGCAGGATAATGCCACAGTCCGCTGGTGGTCACTCCAGCATTGCTACACGAAGAGTCAGTGGACAGGCTTAGGGGAAAATGGTTGCTTGCAGTCAACTTACGTCTTGAGGTTGGCAGAAGGGAAG